AAAATTAATATAATTATATGTTTAATGTAATTACAGAATGTATATTATAAACTAAATTTATTATTAATTTAAAAATGTTATTCAAATTCTATAGATAAAATTTATTTATATGTACTATTTTATATAATATTTTATAAAAAAACAAAAGAAATTAAAAATAGAATATTTGTTAAAAAAAAAAAAGTTATATAGTCTTAGTCTTATTTTATTAAAAAAAAAAATATATGATTTTTTTTCTATATAGAATTTTATATTATAATATATTAAAATATATCTTTTGGAAAAATATTCAATTTTTTCAAAATTTAATTATTTAATAATTTTTTTTTATTTATTTCTTATATATAAAAATTAATTCAATATATAATATATAAAATAACTTTTTAATTATAATAATTTTTTTTTAACAAAAAAATTATATAGTTCTTAAATTATAAATAAATAATTATTTAATTCTTTAATTTCGATGAAGTTATTATTCATAAATAATTTTTAAACTAACTAAAAATGTTAAATATTTAATTTAATAGACACTTATATTATTTTACTTTATTTAATGTATACTACTTATATTATATAACATGAATAATCAGTAACTTCAAAAAATACTACTTTAATCCATATTTTGACTTCAAATTTTTTATTAATATACTTTGAAATTCTACTATTTATTTTTCATATTTTAAATTATTCGAGTTTTAGATGCGCCGTAATTACTTTTATATTGTAATTAGGCTTAACAAAGTTCACTCAATTGTTTTTAATTAGATTATCCGAAATAGATTTGTATAAAAAATCGCTTTATTTTGGAGTATAAAATTGAAGTAGTCTAATTATATGTTTCTTATTTAAATCAAGTATATTTATTAGTTACTACATAAGAATTACCATATTAAATATACGAAATTCTTCGTGTTTAAGTAATATTTACAAAATATGATATTATTACTCTTTTTAGCAAAATATTTATAAATTCTGTATTTAAATCTTTTATATAATTAAATATATATATATTATAAAAATGTATAATTAATACTTAAATTATTATTTTAAAAGATTGAATTTAGAATATTATTTCAATTAATAATTTATTTTCTATTTTTTATAAATCATCTATGTTTATTAAGTAGCTAAAAAAATATTTATTAAATTTTATATATTTTAATTTCTCGTATATTTAAACATAAATAAAATAATATATATGGTTTATTGGAAAAAATATTATATTTTTTAAATACTTTCTTTAAATTTTTATTAAATAACAATAATTTAAACTAATAAATAATATAAAAATTTATCATATTTAATATTAATTTTTTCATTAATAATATAAAAATCAGTTATCAATATTATTATTATTTAATTTAATATATAATAATATATATTTTTTTATTTATTTAAATTTAGGAATAAAAAATTTATTAATTATTATTTTAATTTAATAAAATACATTATATATTAAATTTTTTAATTTATTTAATATTATAAATTAAATATTGAAAAAACTAAGGTATTATACCTATTTTATTTAAAACTATTATATTTATTTTATTTAATTAACGTAACAACAAAGTTTATTATAAAAATATACATGGATATCAAAGAATTAAAAATAAGTAATTATTTAATATTAAAAAAAATAAAAATTTAAGTTATAATAATATATTATATAAAATAAAATTATTATATAATAATTTATAAAGAGAAAAAAAAGAATCTTATAAGATTTTAATATATTTAAAAAAATAATTTTTAATAAATTAAATTAATATCAAAAATATTAATATTTTATTTATAAAATATATATAAATAATAAAATTAAAATAAAAATTAAAGATATATATATATATATATATATATATATAATATATATATATATATATATATATATATATATATTCTATTAATTATATCATTATAATTTTATAAAACTATATTTAATTTTATATTTATAATTTATAATATAATATATGTTTTTAACAATATTTCTTTATTAAAATTTTTAGAAAATTTTATATATGCAATACCTATATTAATTTTAAAAATATTTAACAAAAATTTCTTAAAATTTTATTCAATATTATTTTTAGAATAAAAAATATATACTATTATTTTATAAAAGTATTTCTTTTCTTCAATTTTTTTTATTTAATCTTCTTTTATTCATAATTAAAACAGTAAGTTAAAGTATAGATTATTATAAATCTATTATTTTTTAATATAAGATATTTAGATCTATAATGCTTGTAATTTTACTATTTTTTTTTTGTTAATTTATTATTAATAAATAAAATATTTAATATTAAGTTTAAGAAACTTAAATAGAAAAAATAACTTAACAATCTTTTTAATATAGTTATTTTATGTATTAGAATATTATTATAATTTAGATTTTTAACATTTTTTAAAAAAAAATATTATATTTTTTGTTCTATATTTACAAAATATAACTTAAACTTGTTTAATATATATACAAAATAAATTTATGCAATTACCATCAAAAGCATATAATTTTTTCGAAAAGAAATATTATAGTAAAGATAAAATAAGAATTCATTAAAACAGAAATAAAGATATTAATTTAATTTACTTAACTGTAATTAATAAAGACTATAAAAGGTAATTTATTTTAAATTTGTTATGACATTTAAATTTAATATGTATTATTACAATCAGAATAATGTTATTTATGTATTAAAAGTTTACCGATTTTATAAAATTAAAAATAATTGTTGTTTATAATAAATTAAAATTTAGAGTATTTTAAATTGATTAGATATAAATATATTTGAAAAATGATATTATTTATGATTTTAAGTTATTTGATTAATAATATTAAATTTTTTAAGATATAAAAAAAGATATGTATTAATTAAAGTCGCAAAAAAAAAAGCATATTTTATTATAGATAATATAATAAAATAGATATAAATATATTTTTTTTTAAAAAAAATAAATAAATATCTTATATAAAGTATTAATAAATAAATTTATTAGTTTAATTTTAAATGTATTTTTTAAAAAATTAATAAAATTGTATTATTTTTAAAGTAAATGGTTTAAATTCTATTAATTAGGAATATTTGAAAATCTTAGGCTTTGAAAAAATAATAACAATTTAATTTTTAATATAAATTTAATCTATTTTGTTTATTTACAATAATATATAATAAAATATAAGATATTTTTTAAAATTATATATAAATATTTAATTAATTTATTTTTATAAATTACTAAAAATCAGTAAGAATTTTATTTTTATAATAACCATAAAATTTTAAATAATTAATTTTTGTTGTTGTTTTTTATAAAAAAAAACAACAAATATATAAAAAACACTAAATAATTATAGATAAGTATTATTTCATTATTGAAAATAAAAGTTTAATAAAAAAAAATGATTTTTTTTAGTAAAATATAAATTATTCATCATTCGTAATCTGAAGTTTATGACTATGACTATATTTTTTATTCTTTTTATTTTTTTTCTATTCTCTTTCAGTTCTTTAGCATGGGGCATAAGGATGAGTTCTAGCTTTATGTCCTCCTAATTATTATCTAGTCTTGAATTATTTATTACAGCAAACACAGACGAAAGTTTTAATACCATCAATTATTTTAACAGATGGGAAAAGCTTAGGTTTTTATTTAGAGATTTTCTTATATTTTTTAGTTCTTTTAGGAATTTCTGGATTTTCTAAAAGCTTTTTACAAGATGCTCTATTATATTAGTTATAATCTAATGAGTTTTCTTCTTAGAAATATTTAAGTTTCTTCTAAATGTCCATATAGTCATTTTAAAAACAGAAAGAATCATCTAAAGATGCTTTATTTTATTTATCCATTTCTAAAATATTTTAGTTATTGTTTTAGGTTATTTATATTTACTATTTTTTTTTTTTTTTTTTATTTTTTTTTTTTTTTTTTTTTTGGAAGTATAAAAAAAATATATATTTTAAATTTTATTTTACTTTGTTTTGTAAGCATAGTTATTATATGCTAGTTTATATATTAGTACCGTTTTCATTTTCAAATATATAAGAAAGGCAATTCTCTAGTTAAAAGAAATTATCAAAAGCCTAATAATAGCTTAATATTGCATTAGTTATAAATTTTCTTTTATTCATTTTTTTGTTAAATTTAATTTAATTTATTAAAATATTTTTTTTATTTTTTTTGCTAAATTATATAAATTATAAAATTAACGTTAATATCTTTTATTTATATAAATTCAAAAAGTAATTTAGCTAGTTTTTTTATTTTATATAAAAACAATTAATTTTTTTCAGTTATATTAGTTTTAAAAAGAATATATTAATATTAATTAAATTTATATAAATATTATATTTTTATATGTCCTATGAAAAATATTTAAAATTAATATTGGATAAGGTTTATATTAAAAAAACTTATTAAATAGAAAAACATTTTTAATTATTATGATTTTGAAGTATTTTTTAATTAAATTATTGAAGATTTATTTAATTAAATAATATATTTTTTAATCAATTTTAACTAACAAAATATAATAGTAAATATTATTATTTTTAATTCTTATAACTTAAATACTTATCTTATATATTAATTAAATTAATTTTTAATTATGTTATTATAATTTTTGTTTATTTAATAATAAAATGATATTTATATTTTTATTAATATTGCTTTAGCTAAGTATTTTTTTATTTTATGTTATTATCAATTTTTTTTAAAAAAATTAAAAAATAAATTATCAACTAATGTATTAGTCCTAAATTTTATATTATATATTAAACTTAAAATTGAACATTAACTTTATTTTATTTTTTTATTTTTTATATATACTATTTTAATTTTTATGTGGTTTTATAAATTTTCCTTTTTATTAATTTTTATAAATATAGTTATATTTACATAAAGTAATTATTTATATTTAAATTAAAAATCAATTTTAGAAATTAAAATTTTTAAAAATTTTACTTAATAAAAACAAAAAAATAGCTCTTATATCAAAATAAAAAATGGAAAATTACGAAGAAATTTTAAAAACTTATTAAAGAGATATAAATTGTATAATTGACGATGTAATTAAAAAATAAAAAATAACTATTTTTCTTATTAATTCATAAAAGGATAGAAATATTAGATTTAGGGGTTTGAATAACATTTTTAAATAAGTATTTTGTGTAAATACTCCTATCCATGATTTAATTTAATTTTTTCAAACAAATTTAATTAAAAATCTACTTAGAGCTATAGATGATTAAGTCGAAAAAAACCGAACTAATGCTTTAAATATAATTGAAAAGTAAAACATTTTATCAAAAAAAATAAAAAAAATAAATTCTAATAACCAAATTAAATACAAAAGATATTTTGAAAAAGTAAAAGAAAACAATATTACAGATATTGATAAAGATATAAATATATAAATAATCTAAAAATTATCTTAAAGGATAAATACGTTACCTTACGCAGAGCATAGTAAATTTAAAATAATAAACTTTAATTAACAAAACAAAACAAAATAGGTGAAGAAATACGCCTTTAAATCGTTTTAATATTGACTGCTATATTAAAATAGCGTGCTTTAGACTTTGTACCTATTGTAGGGGATTTTTCAGTAGCAGTATCTAGAATTTTGTTAGATTAATATCCTGAAGTTAAAAAATCGGCTGCCATTTTATTAGATGAATGTTCTATTCATTTAAAACATTATATAGGGTTCCATGGATTAGGTATAGTGAAATCATTAGCTAAAAATCTAGAGCATTAACATTCTAAAGTAAGAAAATAAACAATCTAAGCTCTTACTAAATTTTTGCTTTGTGAAGGGGCTGGAACATTATATGAGCATGTAAGCTCTTGTTATAAAAAAATGGTTAATGATAAAATTAATGACGTTAGAAAATTAAGTATCCATATATATATATATATATATTTCAATATTTTTTGTTTTAATTTATACCTTTTTTTTTATATAAGGTTATGAATGTGTGGCTGAACTTTTAAATGGATTTTCTATTAAAAATTTAAGAACTTATGAATCTGATTTAGTACTGTTATTATTAAATAGTTTAAATGATGAAGTTTAGGCTTTAGTAGAATAAGGACAAAAACTTTTGGAAGAATGCGGGATGAAAAGAAAACTTCTTGCTTTAGAATTAAATGAACTTAATTGATAATAATTTAACAAAAAAACAAAAAAAATATTAATAATGATATTAAAGAATGTTGTATTTAAATTAAATATATATTTTTATTTATTATTAAAGTATTTTTATTTTTTTGTTAAATTTAGATGAAAGATATTTAATTAAAATTCAATAATTCTAAAAAAAGATTAATTTAAAAATAAATTTATTTAAAAAAAAAAATACGTGTATATATAAATTATTTATTATATTAATTTTAATCTTATTATTTTGAAAAAAAAATATTTATTTTTATTTATGTAAAAAATAATTATAGAAAACTAATAAATATAAAAAACATCATAAATAAAAAATATCAATTAAATAAATAGCCATAATATTTTTTACTCATAAAGATTAATATATATTAATTTTAATTAATAGCAATCAAATTTCAAAAAATAAAAAGATGCAAGCAAAATAATTTAGAATTTAATCTTTAAATCAACTCCAGTAAATATAAAAGTAGCCATCTGACTAGAACTTAGAAAATTTAGAATTTCATCAATCATCTGTATAAAAAAAAAAGATTTTAAGTTTAACTATTATTGAATTTGAAACACAAAAAATATCTAAAAATAATAACTAAAAATCATATATAAACTAATATAAAGACAACTATAACTAACAAACAAAACAACTATCTTGTTGTTAAATAAATTCTGATATGCTATAATTTTCACCTGAAAAAAAAAAAAAACAAGACTTTGTAAGATTGGATGAGTAAAAATCAAGAGTTGAATTCGAAAATAAATAAGACAAATTAAAATACTAATTTGCTAATACAAAGATTGGTTTCTAATGTAGAACTTAGGCTATAAAAAATGACTCTTATTTGAAAAAAATGCCTGAATTAGATTCTGCTAATTTAAGATAAAGTTAAGAACATAATAAAAAGATTTATAATAAATATTACTAATATGTAAGGGATAATAATTTAAAAAAAATTGTAATAGAGCCTCAAATGAATTAAAATGGAGCTAATTTTAGACCTTATATTAATAATATGAGTAGTACTAATAGTCCTTCAAAATAATAATAATGGAAACATAATTAATTTGATATATAACTTGATTAAAAAAGTCCTGAGAGATAATTAAATAATTACAAAATGCCTTCTTATATTGAAATAGATGAAGATAATTCTAATGGAAAAATTTAATATAATAAAAACTCAATCATTTTTTAAGAAAAAAAATTGCCTTCTATTAATAAATACTAATAAAAAATTTTTTCACCTCTAAAATCGCCTTTAAAAATAGACATGTAGAAAAATTCACTTTATATTTAATAATAAATATAAAAAAAAATGAATATAAAAGATTCAACAATAGGCGAGAAAGGCGATAATATTGATAAATATAAGATTTAATATAAATTGAGTATTTAAGAATGTATTCCTTTATTTAGAAATTAGCTTTATTAAAGTATTTAAAACGAATAGTTTTTTTAAGAATATATTATTAATTCTAATTTAAATGCTGATTAATTTGTTTTTCATATTATTGCATTTATTTAGAGAGTATTTGGATAAAAAAATAACTCGGAAGAGTTTAAGAATTTCAAAGTTTCGGAGAAAATATAAAATTTTGTGTGTGATTTATGCGTTTAGATATTGAATTAATAATAAATTAATAGTTAAATTTTTCAAAAAATGTTTCATCAAAAAGCTTAATAGGTTCTTTCTTCGAAAAATTTAGTAGAAGAATTAGGAGGGTTTACCAGAATTAATGCTATTCTTGAAAGTGTAGTTAATTTTTTAAATTCAGACTATCAAATAGACATTAGAGAATAAGTTTTGTAATAAAAAGATGATATTTTAGAAGCTATATAGTATTTTTTATTAGGAAATTATAAGCATTTTGGTATTTTTGCGGAAAAAATTAGATAAAATTATTAAATGAGTATTGTAGATTTTTTTTTACTGAAATTTAGTGTATTTGAGGTATGTAAAATATAGAATGTTTAATAAAAAATATATTATGAAATTTTAGAAAAAATGGAAAAATGTAGGTTCTTTTTATTCGAACATGATAAGATTTTAAGCGATTAGAATTTCAAAGAATTTTTAGTATCTGAAATGTAAAAAAATAAATAGATTATGGTCTATTTCGAAGGTACTTAGGATTTCAATTTGAGTCTTTTTATTGATTTTTTTTTGAATTTTTTATATGGAAATTTAAAGGTGGGAGAATTTAAGGATTTTCTTTAGAAAAAAGTAAAAAATGGTGTTTTATGTGAAAAACTTGCTAATAATTTGGAAAATTTTGCTAGTAAATATTGTTGTAATAAAGATGTGATTGAATATTTTTAAACATATTTAGTATAAATAGAAATTAAGTTTTCTAAACTTAAGTAATTAATTATTAATAAATAAAATGAAAAGAAAATTATTGAGAACATTTAATTATTTCAATAAAAGTTTTTTGAATATATGGAAAATTAAATTTTATAGGAAAATGGTTAAATAAATTAATAGTATAAAAGATTAGCAAAAGATGGTATCTTTATTTAGTATATTTTATGTTTTTTCGATGATGAGTTTGAAATTTATTCAATTTTTGATGTTTTAGCAATACATTTTTTCATTAAAATTAGTAAAAATGTTTTTGAATTTTGGATTGATTATTTAAAAAGATTTATGTTATAAGAATTATATACTTAAACATAAATTGACTAGTTTTGCATATTATTAGATTATTATTCTTTGTTTAATTATATATGATTTTATATATTTTAATTTTTTAGAATATTTCTATTAAATTTTTTACATATATAAATAATATTTTTTAAGATATTTTTTTTTTTTATATATACAAAAAAAAATAAAAAAATCTAAAAAGATAAAAATAACTACATCAAGATATTACAGTAAAATATAAAAAAATAAATGCTAAACATATTCAAATAAGTTCGTTATTTTTCATTCCAAAAACAATCCACATTTGCATTCCCTTAATTAACATTCTAAGACCAGAAATATCCGACCAAAATACAAATAAAAAAGCAATTAAATGAGTAAGACTTTAACTAATTTTAATATAAATAATTGACAAAATAAAATTAATAATAATGGCTTTACCCTTCTACATAAACTTAATTATTAGTAAATTTTTGTATACAAGAAGAAGATTAGAAAAAAAAATTAAATAAATTATTTTCATAAGGAGCTTAATGTGTAAGAGCTTTACATTCAAAACAAATCGATTAAGTAGATTTATTATTTGATCAAGATTTCTCATAAGAAGAAATTTAGCATTTTTTGAAAGGTTTTTTATTAGCAAATTACAAATTTAAACTTGTTTAGGAAGAAAAAGCTTTAGTAAATTAAGAATCTGAAAAAGACTAAGAAAATAATGATTTGAAATTTTAACCAGTTTAAGATATAAATATACCAAATTCAAGCCAAGAAGAAATTGATTTTGCCTAAAAAGTTGCTTTTTATACTTTATATGCGCGTTAATTAAGTAATTTAAGGGCAAATGTGGTTACTACATCTTTTATTTTGGATGAATGCAAAATTTTGCATTAGTAAAATCTTTAAAAAATCCATTTAGAATATATATAAGGAGATGAATTATTAAAATAAGATTTAAATTTAATACATGCAGTTGGAAAAGCTTCATAGAATCCTCCGACTTTAATCAATCTCACATATAGAGGAAACCAGAAAAGCAAAGACATTGATATTGCTTTTATTGGAAAAGGTGTATGCTTTGACGCTGGTGGTTTAAATATTAAACCTACAGGATTTATGGAAACAATGTATTAGGATAAATGTGGTAAAAAAAAAATAATAAATAATATATAAATAAATAAATATATATATATATTTATATATATTTATATATATTTATATATGTATCTATTTATATATAATATTTTTTTTATTTAAAATATATTTTAATAGGAGCTATTAGTACTTTAAGTGCATTTAGAGCAGCTGTTGAATTAGATTTGTAAGTAAATTTAACTTGTACTTTGGGTGTTGTTGAAAATTTCCTTTCTTCAAATAGTTATAGACCTTCTGATATTATTAAAAGTCATAAAGGGCTTACTGTTGAAATCGGAAATACTGATGCTGAAGGAAGGCTTGTTTTAGCAGATTGTATGAGTTGGACTTAATAAAAATATAAACCCAAAGTATAATATATATTTTATTTTATTATTATTTATTTATAGACTATGATTGAACTTTCGACTTTAACAGGAGCATGTGTTGTCGCTTTAGGTGAAGAAATGGCTGGATTGTTTTCTAATTGTGATGATTTGAGTAAAGAATTCGAAGATTTAAGTAAAGTTACAGGGGAATTGTTATGGAGATTACCTATTCATAGTTCTCATAGAAAATAAATGAAAGGAACTTTTAGTGATTTAACTAATAGTGGGAAGTCTAGGTACGGAGGAGCTAGCTCAGCTGCGGCATTTTTGGAAAATTTTGTTGAAAAAGATGTAAAGTGGGTTCATTTGGATATTGCTGGACCTGTTGAAAGTAAATCTGATTAAGGACATTTGAGTGCTGGAATGACTGGTTTCGGAGTCTAACTTTTAATTCATTTTTTAAAATAAAGAGAAAATAAACTTTGAAAAATATTTGATTTATTTTGTTTTGTAATTTTTTAAAATTATTTTTGTTTTCTTTTTTTATATTCATTTAACATCAGAAATATAAAATTAAAAAAATTTATTTATTTTGTGTTTAAAATAAAAAAAAATATATATTAAATTTGTAAATATCTAATTAATAAAATAAATTAAATTGTTTATAATATTTTATATTTTATTAAATAAATAAATAATAATATTTATATTTTATATAATTGAAAATTAACTTTTTTGCTTTTTTTTACAAAATTATTTAGAAAGTTAAAGTATAAAAATATAAATTAAAAAAAAAAAAAAAATATCAAAGAAAGAAAGAAAGATTAAAAAAATAAAAATAATACTTTTTAAAAAAACTAATAAATAAAAATAAAAGAAAAAAAAAAAATATGGTAAATATATAAAAAAGCAAAATTTTAACAATTAAAAAATATATTTTATATAATAAAAGCCTAAAGCTCCCAAGAAAGTAACTAAATAAGCGAACAAAAAAGTAGAAAAAAAAAGAAACCCCTTATTCCAAAGCAGACCTAGAAGTTTCAGAGTAGGAGGAGATATTTAACCCGAAAGAGATTTAACCAGATTTGTAAGATGGCAAAAATATGTAACACTTTAAAGATAAAAACGTATTTTACTATAAAGACTTAAAGTACCTCCTTAAATCCATTAATTCTCTCGTACTTTAGATAAAAACCATTCAACTAACTTGTTCAAATTACTTTAAAAATACAAACCTGAAACTCCTTAAGAAAAAAAACAAAGATTAGTTGAAGCTGCTAACAACAAAGCTTAAGGAAAAAAAGTTGATTAAAAGAAACCTTTTGTTTTAAAATACGGTTTGAATCACATCACTACTTTAGTTGAAAATAAAGAAGCCAGATTAGTAGTTATTGCTCATGATGTTGATCCTATTGAAATCGTTATTTTCCTTCCTTAACTATGTAGAAAATAAGGAATTCCTTATGCTTTAGTTAAAGGTATATTATTTTAATACTTTCGCTTTAATAAATTTTTTATATAGGTAAAGCAGCTCTTGGTTAATTAGTTAATAAAAAAACTGCTACTGCTGTTGCTCTTACAAGTGTTAGACCTGAAGTAAAAATATATAAATGAAATATATATGAATATATATAATATATATATATATATATATATATATATATATATATATATATATATTATATATTAAATAAATTTTTAAAGGATAAAGTTGCTCTTGATAATTTAGCTAGCACCTTCTTAACTAACTATAACAATAATGAAGAATTAAGAAAAACTTGGGGAGGAAATATTTTAGGTGCCAAATCACAACATAGAGTTGATGCTTAAGCTTAAGCTGTTAAAGATGAATAACTCAAAAAATCTAAACTTTGATTACGATATTTTTATTTTATAAAAGTATTTATATGTGCATTCATTTTTATTAATTTAGAGAAAAAAATAAAAAAATATATATGTGTGTCAATGCCAATTTTTTATTTAAATATTTAATATTTTAATTTTTTATATAATAAATATAAATTAATTTATAAAATATTAAATATGTTTTAATTTTTTGATATACATATTCTATTTTTACATGAAAAAAAGGGAAAAATAATAATGATTTTATTATTTATATTAAATAAAATCTGTTTTATTATTTAATATGTCAATAATTTTTAGCAAACTTTAATTATTTTTGAAATCAAAAAATTATAAATATACAATAATATATGAGTAATAAATGCTCATTTGCTATCTTTTATTTCATCATCTCCTTCATATTCTTCTAAATATTTTTTATAAAAGAAATATTGTGTTATTTTTTTAAAAAGCTTATGTTTGTTAAGCTTTATAATATTTTTTATATCTTTAATTAGTTCTAAAGATTACTATTAATTAAGTTTTTAATTATTTATAGCTATATTTTAATATTATTCATTAATTACTTAAATATAATCAGATTAAATTATTTATGTTTTATTATCTAAAATATTTTAAATTAAATGAATAACAATAAAACCTTTTTAAATACTATTTATTGCAAAAGATTCTTACTCAATAATATCTTTTAAGCCTTATTATACTTTAGAAGTTTATATTATTTATTTTATTTTCTATTAAATTATTTACTGTTTATTATTTATAAATGGTATAAAAATAATATTTCCTTCACAAATTTATGAAAATTCCAGACTTTTAAAATAAAAATTATTTGAAAAACCCTATTATTATTTGAAAAAATTAGCAAATAAAATATCTAAACATGATTTTCTATTTGTAAAATTTTATAATATATATATTTATGTTTCTTCTTATTCAAATATTTTATCAAAATAATTCCATGGTCCTATCAACTAATCTTATATTTAATAATTTCCATTTACATCATTAATAGTAAACCAATTGTTTTATTCAGTTTAATAAAGTATTTTAAAATCGGTATAATTATTTAAAATTAAACTATTAAACTTTTTTCTAAATCACAATATACTTGGATAAATAATTATATTTACATATAATTGAACCTAATATATTAATTATAAATGTTTAATAATTATATTTTTACTTTAAGATATTTTAGAAATGAAATAAATAGCTGGATTATTATTTCCATAAGCTATTTAAGGAAATATTTTCTAAAATATCACCTAGTTCTTATCCGAATTTATCTTTAAAAAATTAAAATTCTGTTTTTTGAATTTTAGATATATCTAATTATTAAAGAAGGGCATTATTAATAATATTTTACTAATTTTTAGTATTAATTTCTTTATTTAAATTATTTATTTTTTCCTTCTATAAATAATTAAATATTTCTTTTCCGAAAATTTCAATTTAATCATTATTAGGTTTATCTTAAATTTAAAAATTTTATTATTTTTTATCATTTTAATTACAATGTTTTAATAAAATCAAGTTTTATTTGTAAAAGTTAATTAATTATTTATTATCATAATAATAAAACTAAAGTTCTTCTTCTTTTTATTTATTATCTCTTTATATTTTTAATAAAGCTTTTATTTTTTATCTCCATAATTATAATTTAGTTAATGGTAAATTATTTTAATTTGTATTAATATTAGGAATTATCTTAACTTCATTATAATTTTTATCTTATTCTAAATCAATTAAAATTATTTTATTACTATTAAAATCATTTTCATTTGTTGTTAATGATTTCATAATCCTTTTTTCTATTTACTAATTTTATGAATAAAGACTAATATTTTCATTTCTTATGCTATATTTTTTGTATGTTATTTATCTTTATGCTTAATTAGGTTTTTAATCTTGTTTAATATCTTAAATTTATTCTTTTTTTTTCTATAGAAGATCAAATTAATGACTAGTTTATATTTTTAAAGTACCCTTTTTACCTATTAATTTAAATATTTCCCACATATTACCACTTATTAAAGAAAGAATAAATATAGAAAAAAAATTAAAAGTATTAAAATATAATAAACTTAAAAAAAAACTATCAAATTTATAAGCATAATCAAATTAAATTTAACTCCATCCTGCTGAAATCGAAACCTAAAGTAAAATTAAAAAAGCGCCTTAAATAGAATTAAAATTAGCATAACTTAATATATATTATATTTAAAACAAAACAAAAAAAACAAAAAATTATGTTTTTACCTACAAGAATCAAAATCTTAATTTTCCTTATTTTAAATTTAATAAATAGAGCACATTTAACTAGTGTATTTAGAGTTTTAATTATACTTTCTGGGATGAATTGTAGTAAAAATTTCGACTCCAATAACTGAATAAATATAAAAAGCTACAAAAAGAATAATTGAAAATCTTAATACTATGGGTATACAAATGAATATTTAAGATATTAATTTTTGGACTCTTTAAATTATTATATATAAATTTGAAAAATATTGCATTATGTTTCTATCTCTAATATATTTAAGATATTTTAATAATTTAATTATTTTTTTTATTTTTAATAATCTTATAGCATTAAACATTTTAATAATTCTATGTTCTACTACATTATTACCATAATTATCATATAAGAACTTGTATTTTTTATTTAAAACAAAATAAAAAAATATATATATTTACTTAAAATAATATGCTTAAAAAATCTATTTGATTTATATTATTATTGAAATATTTTTATACGCCTAAAACAATAATTTTAGCAAAAGCCTCAAAAACATTTACTAATAAGACAAATGATTCTAATATTGAACAAAAATATACTAATTATATAACTTTTTAATGATAAGCAACAAAATTTATTATAATATTTACAAATGCAATAATTTCTACAACTAATATTAATTATATACATTTTTTTTCTAATATAAAATATTAAAGTTTAAACTTATTATTCAAATATTGTCTGAAAATAATCCAAAATTTATATGGTTTCATTTTTAAAAGAGACAATTATGTATTTTATTCAGTAATATCAAGTAAATTTAAAAATTAACTAATATCAATAAAATTAGTTTATTAAATATTTTATTAAGAAATTTCATTCCATAATTATTAAGCTAAATGTTAAGATTATTCCCATACTTCTACTTTTCCATAAACATATTCAAAAAAGCTAATAAATTTCTTCTTTTTAAGTATCTTTTTTTTATTACAAAGGCATTTAAAACAATAAATTAATGCTTCTCTTCTAATTATTCTATCAACTTTTTTTTTTATTTATATATTGAAACATGAATACTATAATTTTTTTTATTTACTCAATAATAAATTTAATCTATGTTAAGTAAAATCATTATATAATACTGCAATAGGTATAGGTGAAAATAAAAGTAAAAACAAAACTAAATATGGAATATAATATAAAACATAGAATTTAGAAACATTCAAAACAGGTAACATTATTTATGGCCATAAGTCAAGAGTACTAATAATATATAAAGCATTTGCTGTTTTGAAAATATTTTTATAATCATAAGCATATTCTAATAAAATAATAAAAAAAAAAATTAAAAATATTTGTTTTATACAATCTTCATTAGTATTATCTAATCCATGCATTATATTTATTCCCATAAAAGCCCAAAAAAATGTTATAATGGCATAAAAAATTATTATAACTAAAAAAGTAGTACTTGAATACATAATACTTTAGAAAATTCTGCTTATATTTTGTGAATTCATAATTATTTATATCGGTCTGAAAATTCTACCAAATCTAACAATAATTTATTTAGGAATATGGATAGTATAAATTAATAAATCTAAAGATATTATTGTAAATATCAAAGTTTTAATAATAAAGATTTTCATTTTTAAAATCACTTATTTTTTGTTATATTTTTTATATTTAATAAAAGAAATCCTGTGTATTATTTCTAATGTAATATCGATTAATTGGAATTATAGAATAAAAAATTCAAGTATAATATGTATGCTTTATTATTTATGACTTACACTTTAGTCATATTAATTTACAGGTTCAAAAAACACTAAAAAAGTATGAATTATCGTACAAAACTATATAAAACATGTCCAAATGTAGGATGTTTATATAGTCCAAATTTACAAAATAAACTTTTTTCTTCTTTTTCTTCATCTATATCTAATCTTATTTATCTATAAAGCAAACCATCAATAAGAAATCTGTAGGATTTTTTTTATTAAATTGATAAATCTAATTTTATTATTAACTTTTAAATTTATTCAAGTTATTTTTTATCTATAAATAAAAAATTCTTTCTTTTTTATTTTAAAAGTTCTTTATTTATATTTTTTTAAAGATTATTTTATTCCAAACAATCTATTTATTAAATCGACATATTTTTTTTAATAAAAATTATTTTAATTTAATTAAAAAATTAAATAAAAAAAAAAATTTAAATTTTGCTTTATAAAATAAAAAATTATCAAAAATTTTTTATAACTGTATTTTTGATTTTTATCAATTACATGGATTTAATAATCATCTATTATTTTCTTTTGATAGTAATAACACTACTTGGAGTATCATTCTTATCTTCTAAATAATAAAGAATTTTCTTAAACAAATATAGATGATGAAATTTAAGGATTAACAGAATTTAATAAAAAAAAAAATTATTAATTTTTAAACATATATCTATTTCTTTGCAAAATAGATTGTAAAAGGTTTTAATTATTTAATGTTAGTTATTTAATAAATTATTTTATAGAAAAAAATTAAAACAATTTTTTTATATTATTTATGTCAAAATCTTATTATAATTTTAAAAAAAGTAATTTTTTTTATATTATTATTTGATTTAGTTAAAAAATTAAAATAATAAAATAATATTTTAATTTGATATATATTATTAAATTAGTTTATATAATTTAATTAAAAAAATGTCAACATAATAAGAATTTAAAAAAAATTACAAATATTCCATTTGTAAAAATAACATTTACATATATATATATATATAAATATAAATATATATATATATTAATATATAAATATATATTTATAGATATATATGTTTTAATATATATCTATAAATATTTTTAAAAATTAAAAATTAATTATTATTTTAAAATTATCTTAAAATTACGATATTCTTTTTATTTATTCTTTTTTTAAGTTTATAAGGTTAATTTATTTATTGAAAAATATCTTGATATAAAATTACTATTATTAAAGAAATATCTACAAAATTAATATTTATATTTATATTTATTATTTAATTTTTTTATATAATTATTTTACTATAACCTTATGCAATTAATATCTGTATCCTATATTATCCCAAAGTTAGATATTAACAGCTTTTTTAATAAATTTAAGTATATTAAAACTTAATATTATAAGCCGATTATAAAAATACCAAGATTATTTCTATTTTACTTATTAATACTAAATTATTATAGATATATATTTTTCATTACTTTCTTATCTATAGAAAAGCTTTAGTATTTTTTTATTTTATATTTTTTATAGCTTTAAAAGTTAAAATTTTTATTAGAGTTTGTTTTCTATTTTTAGTTTTTAATGAATAAAAATATTATTATGTTTATTTCGTATTCTTCTTTATTTTAATAATAGTCTTCTTTATAGAAATTTTTTTAAAAACTTAACTAAGAAATTTTTACTATTGAATCCAATTTTATTACATAAATGTTTTTATATATAGAAATTACTTATTATATGAATTTTTAAAAAAATAAATTTAATTTATTTTTGATAAAAAAAGAAAAATATTATTATTATTATTATTATTATTATTATTATTATTATTATTATTATTATTATTATTATTATTATTATTAATATTATTATTCTTTTATTAAAGATATAATAATTTATTTTTTTAACTTAAGAGGTTAAATATCATAGATTTTTTAAATAAATATTTTATATATTATAATATATTTTAATAATATAGAGAAATTTAAATATTTTTTTTTTATTTATATAATAATATTACTTTGTTTTATAATTATTATAATAAAATATATATATTAATATTATATATAATAATTTAAAATTTAGATATATAAAAATTTTAAATAATTATAAAAATTTGATTTTATCTTATAATAATGAAAATAAAATTATTATAATTTATTCTATTATTTCAAATTTAAATATTATAGCTTTTATTTACATAAAATTCAAACTATTAAAAATTCCATTTTTCAATTTAATTTTATATTTTCGACAATTAACATACTTATTATTTTTATTTTCTTTTAAATCTATCAATAATTTAAATATAATAATTCTAATATCATTTAATAAATCAAATAAATTAATTTTAATATTAATAAATATATGCTTCAAAATAAATTTATACATATAAAATATATAAATTTAAATTTATTATTTATACAAATTTTATATATTTAGTTCTTTCATCTTAAATTAAAAATTAATTATAATAAATCACTCTTTTTTTAATTTAAACATTAAATAACATTAGTCCTCCTTTAAGGTCACAATTTTAAGCATAAACAATAATAAATAATTATAGTTAGATATAAAATTTTTTATTAATATATGTTATTAATACTAAGAATATATTAATATTATAAATTAATAGTAATTTTTTCATTTTTTTTTAATTTATAATAATAAATATAATTTCACATTAGCTTATTTTTTTCATTTTTTCTAAAATAATTAATAATATTATATATCAAGCAAGTATTTTAATGCTTATTTGGAATCATCTATATTTATTAATTACAATTATATATATTCAAACATTGTACTTCAACCAAAAATTGATGAAATTTCTATTTAATATCCCTAAAAATATTAGTTTTATATTATATTTTTAAACTACTTTATCTTATAAAATTATTTATATTAACAAACACTAAATTTTTTATATATTGGTAATATAACTTCTACTGTCTGTATCAATTAAATATCAATTGTACTATATTTTTTTCCTGAGGTTTTAATTTTAATATTCATTTAAAAATTGTGCAATATAACATTTTGTTATATTCTAATTTTCTCTGCTATTTATTATTTTTTTCGTAAAAATTAAGAGATTTAAATACCAATAAAAAATAATATTTATAACTATGTTTTTTATTATTTTTAAGAAAAAAATTAATGATATAAAAATATCTTAAATAAAAGATATACTATATTTGCTATTTTTGAATTAAAAAGTTTTCACTCAATTATAATTATAATTTAAATAAATTATTAAGTATTTTTATATAGTAAATTCATATTAGTAAATATATATAATTTTTAATACTTAATTAAAATAATCTTATTTTAAATACTCATTTACAAATATTCTTTGAAATTTTTATAAATATTATTATATAAAAATTTACATAAAATATACTTAATTATCAATTAAAATTATTTATTTCTTTGAAATACATATAATAATATTAATTTAAAACAAAATTTTTATTGTTTTAAAAGCATTTAAGACATATATATTAAATTATTTTCTTAAATATTTTTAAAATATATAATGTTTAATTTTTTAAATTATTTTTCTATAACTATTTATAATTTTTTAGTAATTTAGAATAAAATTATATTTTTGATATTTATATATAATTTTTTTAAAAGAATAAAATATTTTTTTATTTTATTTTTTTTAATATAAAAATAAATTTATTACTAACTTTCTTTAATTGACTTTAAAATACAATTTCATTAATAAAGAAAAAAGCATTTTTTTACTAGAACTTTATTGATAAAAATAAAATTAAAAAGATGAGTAAATAAGCTTCCTCAAAACTTCGAACTAAAGGTAAAGTTGCATAAAAAGAAAAATTTATATTTTTAGAATAAGACAATGTATAAAAATAACCAATAATATAAATAGACGAAAAAGAAAAGAATATTATGAAAAAAATGTCCGGACAATTAAAAATTTAAAAGTAATTAAGTAGTCAAATTGAAATATAATAAACAGAGGATTAAGGTGATCAATATATTTAAAAAGCCTCTTAAAAAAAGTAAATAAGTGAGGAAATAGAAAAAACAGAGAAGATGAAAATTCAGCTTACAAAAGATCTTTCCGATACTCCAACTCCAATAAATCTTAATATTTAGGAAAACTAAACATAATAAAGTAAAGAATCATAAATGATTGATGAACATTTTTAAAACAAATCTTTTTAAAAAAAATAAACAAATAATACATAAAAATTAAGCATGAAAAATTTTAGAATAGAAGAAAAGCCTCTATTTAAAATTCAATAAAATAAAGAGTTTTCATCAAATTCAAAATTATTAAAGACATAAAATACTAATATAATAAAATAAAATAACAATACATCAAAAAAATATTTATCATCATAAATATAGCAAGAAAATAAAAGCTATTTAAACCCAATTTAGATGAATATTGGTTAAGAAGATTACACTGAAATATAAACATAACCATTATTAGATTTAAAAAAAAATGAATAATAGTAATAATAATATAATTCTCATATATAATAAAATACATAATAATAAAATATTCATAATTAATATTAAATATAAATACAATCAAATTTTCCTTCATAAACATCTTCATTTAATTGCGATTCAAAAGAAAATGATTAGTTTATATAAACAAAAAGTAGATTATAATAAAAGGCATTAAATATAATAGATATAGAAAAAGTTACAATTAATAATCATGATTTATTAGGATAAGGTGGATATGGTAAAAAAAGAAAGAAAATAAATAATTATATAAAAATAAATAATTATAAAAAACTAAGGTACTGTATACGGTGGTACATGGTAAAATATAGACGTAGCAATAAAAGAAATGCTTTTAAGTTACGAAGAATTAGGTTCAATGGAAGAAGAAATAACGATAATGTCGAAAAGTCGACATCCATAAATGATAATAATGTACGGAATATCTTTGAAATAAATAAGGTAAAATAAATTACTCTGTTGGATAATAATGGAAAAAATGGAATAAAATTTAGACTAATTTATTTTCGGGAAAAAAATATAATAAATTGATTTAAAAACAAAATTGAATATTTGCTAATAGATTATTAGTGGTGTTAATTTTCTTCATGGTTCTGATATTATACATAGAGATTTAAAATTATCGAATATACTTCTTGATAAAAAATTAAATGCGAAAATTACAGACTTAGGAATTGCAAAACTTCTAGAAAATAAAGAAAAAACACTCAATATAACTGTTGCTTTTACAGCAAGATATGCAGCACCCGAAACTGCTATTGATGGAAAGAGTTACCTTAAATCAGATATTTGGTCTTTAGGTATTATGGTTTATGAAATATTTTTAGAAGAAAGGGCTTGGAAAAATGAATCTGTAAATAGAATAATTATTAACTTGTCATAAGAAAAAAGTCCTTTTGAAAAAGGATGGGAAAATATTATTAATAATTAAATTATTGTTGATGTTATTAAAGGAGCAGTTGATTATAACAAATAGACTAGGTTTGATTTAAATCAAGTTTCTTAAAAAATTAATAGTTTGAAATTTTGATTAAATATATAAACTTTATTTATTTAGAATTATCTATATTATTATTTGATAATTTTTTTTACATGTATGTGTGTATAAAAAATAAAACTAAAATATTTTTTTTTTCACTATTATTTTTATTTTATTTTTAAAAAAAAATATTAAATAAAATTTAAAATTAAATATATATATATATATATATAATTATTTTTTTCAAAATATATTGCATTTATCAATAGTACAAGCACCTCTATCTTATTAAAAAGTAATTGGTTAGATACCTTTCTAATCATTATACTCTATGCAACTTTTAAAAGGTTCAATTATATCTTTAATAATAGCTTTTCTGTCCATAATAGATTATTTGATTGTAGTAGCTTCTTTAATATAATATTCTTTTAAATATTCAAGAATATTAATTCTTTGTTCTTTGTCTAAATAAATATCGAATTTTAAAATAATGTTAGTAAAGCCATCAAAAGGAGCATTTTAACTCAAATCTTTAAATTAAACTTAAATTTTGGTTTGAATTAATTCTTTTTCGAATTCCTTATAATGGATACTTTCATAAATTTTATCAACAGGAATTAATAAAGTACAAAGTTATTTATAATCATCACTTTCGTGAACTGATGAGTATCTAGAGTTTTTTAATTTCCCAAGTATCAATAACTCTATAATTTATAAATTCTAATTCACATCACATGACCAAACATTACTAAATCCAGCCTCATATATACTTCTAAATTATAAATTAGGAGTTTCTTTTAGTGATTCAGCTTATTTACTTTCATTTTATTTATTTATTGGACTTGCTTTAAATTTTATTCTTTTTTTTATTTAATAAATATAAATAAATATTATTATTTCTTTTTATATAGAAAATATTTTTAATTTTTTTTACTTATAATGTTTAAAAATTTCTGTTGCACATGAAATGTCTTTTAAATAATACATTTATAAAGTATTATTTTTTTCATTAATATTTATTCTATCAGTCTTTATATCACTAATCATTTATTAAATTGTCTAAATAAAATGATATAGTGTTTAATATTCTGCATTATCTTCTTAATTATCCAAATGTAAATTTTTTATATTTTCTATTACTTTTTCAATAAAAATTTCAACATTTATAGATTATGTTTCCTATTCCCATTTTTGGAATAAACAAAGATATGTCTCATATGAAGAACTCGATACTTATTTAAATATAAGACTTTTTATGTGAATCATATCTTAAAATTAATAGCCTTTTTATTAAAATGAATTTATGAATAGATCTTTATTAAATTAAAAATTAGATTCTGCTTCTTATCGTATTGTTTTTCTATATCCTTAACTAGTTACACTTGTTCGAGGGTTAATATCTCTATTATCCATTTATTTATTATATTTTATTGAATAAACGTTTGCTTATATATATTTTTTTTTATTTCTAATATATATTTTTATTATTATATTTTGTTTTTACTTGAGCTTTTTTGTTTATTATAGAAAACTTATTTTAAATTATTTTATAAAATAATTTTTTATTTGTATTGTTTGTAAAAAATATGAAATCCTATTATAAAATTTTAAAATATTTATAAAATCTATTTAATTTGATATTATTTATATTAAACTACATAATAAATTTCCTCGTAAAGTTATTTTCGACTTAAAAACTTCTTTAAAATATATAAAATTAAATTATTATTAAAAAAAAATATTATATATGAAAATGTAATTCTTATCTACTTTTTTCTAATTGTATTATTTTTTTATTGTATTTTAAATAAAAATATTATATAAAATATTAATTTATGATTTATATTTTATAATAATCATGAGTAAATTAATATTATATAAACAAATAAATGATTCGAATAATTAAATAAAATTTAATTTTATTATAAATTTAAAACTTTATAATATTTAATTTAATTTGTTAGAGTTCTTATAATAAAAATTAAAAAAAAATATTTTTAAGTAATGAATTTTTCATATTTTACTACTAAATAATTTTATTTTATAAAAATAGTATTTTTATATATTTAGAAATAAAAGTTTTTATTTATAAAAAATAATTATTATATTAATATTTATTTAAAATCAAAAAATGATTTTATTAAATAAATAATATTTAAAATTTGAAAATAATTTAAATGATGGAAGTGAAGTTAATTTATTATAAAGTTCATTAATAATAAAAAATATAACAAATTAAAATATAGCAATTAAAATAAAATCAACTAATCCTTTTATGTATATAATTAATCCATAAGCATGTGTTATAGAAACAGAAAAATAAAAAATAATCACATTTACATATAAAAATGATAATATAAATAAATTATTCAATGATTAGTTTGAAATAATATACGCAAAAATAAATTTTGAAATAAATCATAAAAAATAGCAGTTTGATTAAGGTTTTTGGAAAAAAAATACAAAAAGTTCTTAAAAAATAATAATCAAAATTTCAAATAACGATGATCATTTTGTTAATAATTTTGATAGCATTAATTTTTAAATGTCATTGCCATTAAATAATCAATCTGTTGGATCTTCTTAAATTCATACAATCAGTTAATTTGATACAGGAACGGTATACAGATCTAAAAATAATTATAAGTAAATAATGGAGTGGAATGACAATTTGAATTTTAACTTAAATAAACAAATGAATAGTAGTATTACAATAAATTATAAAGAAGAATATGAAAAGTTAGTATAAAAAGTACATGAATAGGAAAAAATATATTCATAATTAATATAAGACATTAAAAATGTTACAAATGAAAAAGATAAATTATATTGTAATTACTAATATAATATAAAAAATGTTAATTAAAAAAAAAAATATTCAGTTTTTCATGTATTTATGGTTATTTTTATATCTATTTTTATTGGATTTTTTTTTTGAAATTGATTATATATATAAAAATGAATAATTAATTGATTTTTTTACTTGTATATATTTTTTTATAATATTAAATAAATTTTCAAAAATTTATTTTTTATAAATGAATATATATTAAAATTAAAGAAAAGAATATATACTTTAAAAAAAAGTTAGCATTAATTATAAAGTTATATATATAAATTTTGCTAAATATTATGTGTGAAAAAAATGCCGTTTAAAATCACTTATTTATAAATTTTTACCGTATCTTTTTTAAAAGTAATTTATATAAAAAAATAAAAAATAAAAAAAATTTAAAAAATTATTAAACAATAAATATATAAAATGCAATTGTCTTATAATAATAATATAAATCCAAAAGTAATACTATAAAAATTCCATAATCCTAAAATACCCTATCCAATATAACCCCCTATACAACCTGAGTAATCAGAAATATGTAGCGAATTCGACATATAAAGGAATATTTCATAATAAATAATAAACTTATAAAATACATGTAACAAACAAATGAGTGAAAAATACAATTCTAAAAAAATGTTTATATCCAGAAGAAGTAGAAGAAGTAATAGAAGTTAAAATAAATTAAATTAATTTTAAGAACAAATAAAAAAAATACAAAAAATTAAAAAAATAACAACTCTCATTAATGATAATTTAATCTCTTCTAGTCAATAATAATCAAATTCTCATATATAACAAATTAATGATAATAGTTTAAATATAAACAATACTATATAAAATTATAAAAAAAAAGCGGTTAATATTCATTTAACTAACTAAATGAAATTCATGCTAAAGTAATTCAAAGTAATTAACTTTATTAAAAAACTTAAATAAAAAAGTGGATTTTTTAGAAATAACACTCTAAATAAATTATAAATTTCTTTAATAAATGATAAAACATGTTATTTATTTTAAAACACTAAAAGTTCACTTCTTTAACAAAATGAATAAAAAATATAACAAAACTAATTTTCATATATTTTTAAATATTTTTTCTTATTTCCTATATAATCCCCTAATAGTTTAAAAATAGTACCTTTTGAAATCATATATATAATCACAATAATAGGACAAATAGTATATTTACCAATAGAAGCAGCTGCCAATTCTACTTTTGTTCAATATTACGGATTTAAATGGTTTTATTTTATTTATTTTTTTAAAAAACTATAATTTTAAAAAATTTCATTTAATAAAAAAAGGGTTGTTTTTAACCAAATTTCATTTATTGTGAACATTTTATGGATTTTACTAAATTTTAATTTAGGTTATTATGATAAAGGATTTTGTTAAATGAATAGGAATAAAATAATAAAGAGATATTTCTTTTCAGATTTCAAATATGATATATTAGGATTCACTCCTTTATATATAAGTTATATGTAATATAAAGGCCTATTACAAATAATAAATTTATTAATTTTATTAAAAATAAAGAGTGTGTTTACTTTAATATAAAAATACATAAATTATTTTTCCCTAAAAGGAAACTAAAATCTATACTATATTCTTTTTAAATTACTTCGAATTATTTTTACAGTTTATTTAATAGGGCATTTGTTTGCTGTTATTTTTCTCGGATTATCCATTTATAATATGGACAATGAAATTACATGGGCATCTCGATATAATAAAAATTTCTAAAAATAAGAATGGTTCACAAAGTATGTATACGCATTTTATTGGGGAGTTACGACTATGACTACAGTCGGTTTAGGAGATTTGTGTCCTGCGAACACTTTAGAAATTTTCATTTATACATGCTTTATGTTTATTTCTTGTGGGACTTTTGCTTATTGTTTTAATTCTATAGGAATAATATTGGATGAAATAAACAAAAAAAACGAAATTTTCAACTCAAAAATATCACAAGTTAACCGATATTTGGAGGCTAAATAAATAAAATTAGACTTATAGTTTGAAATTAGGAGTTATTTAGAATATAAATTTTAGGCGAACAATGATATTAGTCTTTAAGATTAAAAAGAAGTGTATAGTTAGTTGAATAATAATATGAAAGAAAAATTAATTTTAAATACAAATATATAGGTTTTGGAATAATGCAGTTTTATCAAATAGAACTTTTCGGAATAATTTTTATAAGAACTTGCCCTTTAGCTTGAAAATGCCTATTTTTTGAACAATGAGTTAGTCTTTAAATAAAATGATTATTTATAAAATTAATCTTATAAAAAACTATATTTTGTAGAAAATGGAAGTATTATACTTTTCAGTAATTAGGAATAGTAGTTAAAGTAAATGCAAGAGTTAAAGAGAGGTTAATGTTTTGGAATATTGGAGTTTTTTTCGAATTTTTAATAAATGATTTACAGTGCCAAATCTATTGGAAATAGTTAAATTTTGGAAATTACTTAGTAGAAATTTATATAAATTATTTAGATGTTCCCTCGTGATTATGAGAAGTATTGTTTAATTAAAGATACTGTTTCTAATTATTAAAATTATGAAATTCTTAAAATATAATGTGAATGTTGTCAAACAAAAGGAAAAAATGCTTTTTTTTGTCAAAAAATACATTATAATCCTGATTATGAATTTTCTATTTTAAAAGTTTTTTTATTTTTTATTTTATTTTTAATAAAAATAAATAAGTAAAATTTTAGTTAATCTCAATTAAATAGGTAAAAAAAACAACGATTTGAAAAAGTTTAATTTAATGCAGTTTATGAGTAGAAATATATAGATGAAATATTAAAATCTTACTAAGAAATAAACACAATTAAAAATATAGAGAATTAAAAAAAACAACTGGGGGATGATAGCCAATAAAAACATTACAGTTTGTAAGAGTCCAAAGTTTAAATTTCTGCTTTAAGTGTTGCATTTTAATAAGTTAAAAATGTTTAAAGTATTTCTTTAAATAATTAATAAGGTTAAAAGATTTAAAAATAGAAACGAAAAAAAAATATTTGCCAAACAAAATATCTAGTTTAATCCAAAGTGAAGTAAATAGTGAATATACAGAATAAGAAATAGTAAAGACGAAATAAAATTAAAAAATAAAACATTAAAAGCAACAAGAAAATAATACAGAAGAAAATAATTAAAATTAAAAGAATATATTTTAACTAAAGAATGATCCTGATTATCTTAATTTTATGTTTTTAAATAATTCTTTAGATTAAAAGAAAAATTATAAAATATATTTTCCTTAAAATAATTGTAATAATATTCTTAAAAATATTTCTTAAAAAAATAAATTAAAAACCTTATAAGTAAAAGTTATTCTATTTATGCTAGATAAATTATTAAAAAAAAATGATTTTTTTTTTTTTTTATTTATTTAAAATAAAAATATTTATTATCATTGATTTTTTTTTTAATTAACAAATAAAAGTCAGAAAAAATTTTCAAATTTTAATTTCTAATTTTTATAAATATTATTTATTTTTGATGAAAAATTTTGACTATTCATATTTATTTATATATATTTAATTTGCATAATCATTAGTTTCTTAAATTTTAGGAAGGCTTTTACTCTCAAATAAATTATATTATTGAAAAAATTTATTTTCTTAAAATTATAAATTTTATACATTTGAACTTTTTAAATTTGAATTTGTAACAGTACCATTTTCTTAAAATTTAAATGTTAAATTTAAAAAAATAAAATTTATTACTTTACACATTTTCATAATTTAACTCATATTTTTTATTATTTTAATTTTTATTAGTATTATCATTATTTTTGTAATTAATTATTCCGAACTTACCATTAATAAAATTTCTTTCACTTCTTACATCTTCAGAATTTTCCTTTTTAATTAAAAAAATACGCTTAATATTTAAAAAATATTATGAATATATAAATATACTATTAAATATATATCATATTAAAGTTTAATAAAGCTAGGTACATATACTCTACAGATAACATTTACTATATTTTGGAAAATATTATTTCTATTTATAATAGTTAATATTAAAAAAAAAAATATTTCAATAAATACTTTGAATGAGGATTTCTGCTTATAATTTTCCAGCTTTTTCTTATATATTCATTTGTTGTAACATTATTAAAGATAAGATAATTATGGAAGCTGTATAATGTAAATATAAACAAAGAAAACTTTTTTTAAAAAAATATACTAACTTAGAATTTTTATTTACTAAAAATGTATATATAATAAGTGCTAAAGAAATAGGCATTTCATTCAAAGCCTTATTAGTATCCATACTTTCTTTATATTTAATTACTAAAATTTATATATTTTATACGATTATAATACAACTAAAACTAAATAAACTTGTCAAGTAAATATAAAAAAACCTAAACTTACATTTATTATTTAATAAAAAATATATATATTTATATAAATCTAATTATTATATCCATTTTTTTTTAAATATTATATAAAAAAATAAAAAATACTTATAGTTTCTTTTGCCTACACATGTTCCTAACCAAGGACAATGATGATCAAATCTTTCAATACAATTATCACAGCATGGGCAATGTGAACATCTGGGAGGCCTCCATATACAACCTATTTAATATTTATATATTGTCTTTGTAATTGATAAAATAAGTATTCTAAAAAACATGTTGTGCAATATTTTAATTTTAAAAAATGTGATTTATTTTAAAATAATTATAGTAAAGGATGAGTTCTATAGTAGCCATTTTTTATACATTCCCTTACTGGTATTTAAATAAAATCTCTATCAGTTTCTATTTTATTAAACTATGTTTTTTTTTTTTTTTTTAATTATTAGCTTTAATATTATTTTAATTCTTTTTTAAAAAAAATATATTTTACTATTCTTGGAATAATACCAGGATCAGATAAGTTAACAAGAAACATAAATATGTTTGTATTCAAATGGGCTATTACATGAAGTACTATTCCTACATATAAATTATTATCAGCTAAGTACTATAAAATATAAAATGAATAAAAATTTAAAAATTATATTTAATCAAATTATTAATCAATTAATTTAAAGTAAATTTAGAAAAATAAAATATACAGTAAACGTAAAAACATAGTTAATTATTGCTGGTATATTTGTAAGGAAAAAAGAAAGCCAAAACTTTTTATTTTCAGATCTAAAGTTAAAAACAAATTATGAACATATAAAAATAATAAAAATTTAATGTAAGTTTAAAAATATATATAAGAAATTACCCTGAAAATATTAATCCTTTGCAATATGTTTGATTCCCTGAATCCCATATTTAATAAAATTTTTAAATTTAATAGTTTTTTTGATGTTAATCAGTTTCTAATTTAATATCTTATGTATTCATTTATATGTTTATTAAATATTTCTATTTTATATATATCTATGTATATATATTTTTTAGGAAAAATAAAATATAATAATATTATGAAATGTAAATAATAATAATTTAAAATCATAATTATATAAATGCAGTTTTAAGATTTCGTTTTTTATTTGAAAATTTAAAATATAAATTGTATTATTCTTTTAAATTAATTTAATCCAATAAATTAGATAAAATTTGACATATGAATTATTAGTTTATTCAATTATATATTTAACAAAATTTTTTGTTTAAATTAAATAATTTTTTAACATAAAATTTGAATAAATTATTATTTATATTTTAATATCATCAATAATTAAAAAATATATTAAAAATAATAATTTTTTAAAATAATTAAAAATTAATTCATATTAATATTTATATCTATAATATATATTTATTTAAAAAAATAATACAAGATTCTTAATTAAATGAAAATATAAAAAATCAATAATAAAACAAATCTATATCCATTTTTTTTTTTTACTTTTTATTTTGTAGAACGAGTTTTTTTTAAAAAAAAAATAAAGAAAAAATATTAATATAAGAAACATGTATTTTTTTTGAACAAAAGTTAAAAACATACAAAATATTTATTGCCAACGTCAACACTATAATTTTTATTTAACAAAAAAAAAATTAAATATATTTTTTAAATTTAGAAGTCTAATAATATATAATTTTATTGATTATTTAATTATATAAGCATTACAATACGGTCTACTCAATTTTTAATTATATAAATATATTTCAATTTTTAATTATATACATATATGTATTTTTGTTTATTTTAGAGTAAATTAATTACATTTTTTTGATAATTATTAATATTTTTTAATAATAGATAATTTCTTATATTAAAATTAATATAAATATCTTTAATAATTAAAAAATTAGTTATTTTTATAAAAAATTCTAAAAAAAAGTATAGTATAGTTAATTCTAGAAATAAATATTACTATTTTTTTTATATAATATTCGATTTCATTATATCTAACTAAAAATAGAATTTTTGTTTTTTTTTTGTTTAAAAAATATATTTAATATAAAAAATTAAAACAAAATTGGATATAACAAAAAATAAAAAAATTATGAGTAATATAACAATAAATTTAAACCAAGATTAAGTTTGGGTATTAGCAGGATTGGTATCTATTAGTTTGTAAGTGTTTCTAACAGGATTATTAGTAGCCGGAGGTGCTAGAAGAAAAGTATTCAAAAAAGAATTATTAAATAAACATTTCGGAGAATAACATAAGAAAGCTACAGGCTGTGAAATTATAGAAGGTGGATATCCAGATGTAAAATAATAAAAATAATTATAATATATATAAAATTTATATATATATTTTTTTAAAAAAAATAGATGGGTTAAGGAAGATATTCAGATATATTACCCTACGAGTAAATTATAAAAAAAATATATAAAAAAATATGTTTAAAAAATAGAGATTGGTTATTATTTAATATAACTTAAAGAATACATTATAATTATCTTGAAACTTTTTCGCCATTTGTAATTATTACATTTGTTTCTAGTTTATATAATGCAAGAGTAAATTTTTATAGATAAATATAACCTTATTTTTATTTAATTATTTATTAATAAAAAAAGGTTTCTGCTTATATGTGCTTTGTATTATTTTTCTCACGTGTATTTTATCATATTGGTTATAAAACCAAATATGTAGCGAAAAGTCCTCTTAGAATATTAGGAGCTTTAGGATCAGATTTAGCTATGTTAGTGAAGTAAAATATATATTAATATTTATTTTTAATTATTAAAAGCTTGATATTGTCTATAAAAGGATTGCTTACTTGGCTTGGATATATTTGAAAATTATAAATTAACTTTATAAATTTAATTTTATTATATATTAAATATTATATATTAGTGTTATGATTTAAATTTGTATTAGTTTTTAATTAAAAATTTTAATTTATTATAAATAAATATATATTATTATATTTTCAATAAAAATAGTATTTTATATTAAATAAATCTTTAATAAAATTAAGCATTATAAAAATTAAAAAAACAAAATAATTTTAAAAAAGAATATATAATAATAAATAAAAGAAATAAACAAAGAAAATAATAATTAAAAAAATAAAAAGTGTTTGCTTATGAAATATATTATATATTTATTAATTAGTGAGATAATAATATAAAATATATGATTATTAATTTATATAAAGATTATTATAATTTATTATAAATAAAAGAAAAAAATATATATTTAAGGAAAAAATTTAATAAAAAATAAATATATAAATAAAATAAAAATATAAATATATATTTATAAATAAAAAATATTTTTATTAATATATAATTTTAAAATAAATTTTAAAGATATTTTTTTTAAAATAAAAAATTATTTAATTAATTTTAATTTATATATTTTTCATGATATTATTAAGTTATATATATTATTTTTGAACTAAAATAATATATCATTAAATTTAGATTCTTATAAATTTATTTATAAAATATTTTTTATATTATTTATAAAATTATTATATAAATAATTAAATATTAAAAATATAATAATCAACATATTATTAAAATATATAAATATATGTTTTTTAAATAAAATATTTAAAATAAAAAAAATTACTTTTATTCAACAATATTTTTATAAATAAATTATAAAAAATATATATATAAATATTTTTATAAATTATATGTATATATATATATATGTAGTTATTTATATATATTTTTTATATATATATGTATATAATTATATATATATATATTTATATATGTAAATATATCATAAAACTAAATTAAATTAAAACACATTTTTAAAAAAACATAATAGTCATTATTACTAATAATATTGATTTTAAAAATAACATTTAGCGTAACTATTATATGGATTATATTATTAAATATTTAAATGATTATTATTTTAAATCGGTTAATAAAATGGAAGTGTCAATATAATTTTACTTGATAAATTGAAAAATCTTTTTAGTATTAAACATGGAATATTCTTGTTTATATCTTATTAACAATTTTAACACTAATACATTGTATGTATTATAGTATATCCAATAGTAAAAGCCATCTTTTTTTAAAAAAATATAATAAAACATTTATTATATATAATTTTTACTTTTATATTTTAATATTTAAATGTAGACCTAGCCACATTATTTGAAATACTTAAAGGATCTAATATTTATACTTTTGGTTAATAATATTAATTTTATATATCCTTATTTTAAAAAATGTGTTATTTTAATAATATTAAAATATAATATACTTGATTTGGATAACCTTAATATCCTATTCCTTAATATCCTTAATATTCCTAAAAACTTTAATATGCCTAAGTATTTTATAAATACTAAAAACTATTAAAACTTTATTCATTAGTTGAACATAATTCAACATCTTTTTCATTTTCAATTTATTTAGGTTTAATATTTTTATATTTCCCCTCATCCATGCCATAAAAAATAAGAAATTGAATAAGTAATTCTCCTTCAGAAGGCCATTTATAAGGATTTTTTTCATCATTTAAATTAATACCTTTGTACTTAATTTTAATCTAAATGTATTTAAAAAAAAAGCAAATTAAAAATGATAATAAAAAAAATAGTTTTACCTATATAAAATAAACTATCATTAAAATAAGAGAATAAGAACTTAATCCTCCTGTATACGTATCATTTAAATTTGAACTATATATAAATTATTTCAAAACTAGTAATAAACGTCTTAATGGTTAATAATAATTCAAATATTTTTTCACTAATTAAACACATTTTAATCCATTATGCTTATTTTCCTATATTGTAATATCTAATTTTTTACATTTATACTCGTTTGTACATGTAACTTTTAGAACTTAAATTACAGTTTTTGATATAAAATTTGTTGCATAAATAAAATCTTTTTGCTTTTTTAATAAATGTTCTATGTTCATTAATATAGTCCCTGGATTTTCCCCAAAAGTACTAATATTATTATCTATTTAAATTACCAAATCTATATCAGACCAAGGCAAACATAATTAAGTAGCAAAAGAACCATATATTGATATCTAAGCATTAGGATAATTCAATTTTATAATATTTGTAAACTTTTCTATTAAATCATCAAATAAAGCCTGATTTTCTTCGTTTTCTTTATTAATTTCGGTTTCAAATTCTAATATTTCCTTTGTTAAAAAAGGAATTATTTCATTATTTCCTAAAACCTAATCATCTATATTAAAAGATTGTTTACAGGTTTAAGTAAATGGTTTTTCTTTTATTTATTCTTATGGTTATTATTTTTCTGGTGATGTTTATGTCTATTCATTTTATTATATTTTATTTTTTTCAAAGCTTTATTTCTTTTTTTTTTTAATTTATAAATATTAAAAATATAATTTTTTTTTTTAATTTATTTTATTATTTATCTTGATAATTAGACTGTATAAAATATAAATTAAATTAATTTTTATTTTTTTACATCTTATAATATATTATTAGAAATCATATTTTAAACGATTTTACATGTTTCCTAATATAATTAAGTCATTTTTTCTTTATTAGAAATATCAATAGTAAATTTATATAGAGTATTTTCATGCTAATAGAGAACTCCATTAGTAAAATTATTTTAATAATTTTGATTTTGTAATTATTATTGTTAAATATTATGTAGTTGAGTAGCTATTATAATTTACTTTTTATTTTATTATTATTATATTTAATTATTATATATAGTTTTTTCTGGTTAGATTTAATAATTACTGTTTATTTATTATTAAAACTAAAAGTTTTTAGAAGAATTTCTAAATTATTAATCATCTTATATATTTTAGTTATCTAAATATTATTACTGAATAAACTGTATATTATTATCTTAACTATAGTTATTTTGGTTATAATATTATATCTATTTATTATTTTAAAAATTTTAGTTTTTCTCATTTATTTATAATTAAGCTTATTCTTAAATATCCTATTAAATATTGAATATTGGTATTTATTATTATTAAAGTTTTAACTTATGTTTTTACATTTTTTATTTTTTCTCTTTTTATTATTCATTTTCATATTAGTTTTGAGTAAATATTTATGTTTCTTCAAATTGATTTATATTTAATATTTATTATTATTGATTATTTTACTCTTAGATATAATTTTATTTTGCTTAATTTTTTTTTATGCTTAATTTTTTATAGTTTTTAATTATATTATTCTTAATTATTATATATTTCTTATTAATTATTTTATTATTCTTCATTTTATAAATCGAATAAACATTCGTTTATTTCTATATTTTACTCTTTATTTTCTTCAATACTTAAAGTTTATAAATTTTATTGAATTTGATTCTTAATAATATAATTTTCATTTGTGTTTTGGGGATATTCGTTTTATTCATCTTATTAACTTTATAATATAAATAATTGATTTTATTATTAAAGAAGTTATTATTATTGTAACTTTAATTAAAAAAAAATATAAAAATATATTTTAATTTATATAATTATTATATATATATATATATATATATATATATATATTTTTAAAAATTAAACTTATTATTTTTTCAAAATCATTTTTTTAATTTCTTCATTTGTACATAAATCAGCAGCTTTTTTTTTTTAATTATTTAAAAGTAATGTATCTGTGTCATATTATAATAATAATTCCACAAACTTTTTTTAATTTTTTATTGCTGCAAAATGTAAAGGTGTATCCCCTTTTTTATATAATTATAAAATAAGTTAATAAAATATCGAAAAAACCTTTTAAATTCTTTTAATTTATATCAATATGCCAATCTAATAAAATTTAAGCACTTTCATAATTTTTATTTTTTATACTTTCATGAAGTAAACTATTTTTCTCCCCTCTTTTTTAAAAGTTTACATTAGCCTATTTTTTCAAAAGTAAAGTTAAAATTTCCAATTTTCCATTTAAAGCATAAAATAAAGCAGAATTTCCATCCCAATCTTATTAATCTAAATAAATATTATTTAATTCTATTAATTCTTAAACAACTTCAAGTAAATTTTTTTCTATAGCCCTCATTAAAGCTGTTTTATTATCTTTTATATATACATTTTTTTTAAATCAATAATTTGTTATGAAATTAAGATACCTTTATCAACTGAATTAGGGTTTATATTTACTCTTTTTATTTAAAAAAGTGCATTAAATATATAATGTATATTTTATATTTACTTTTAATTAAGTAATTTTATCATTTCTAAATGTTTCTTTTAAAAATTATATTTGTCAATAATATTAAATAAGATAAAATCGGAGTTTTCTAATTTTTAATCGACAACAAACTAATCTAAATACTCTTTAAATTTATTTAAGTCTCCATTTATTATAATTTCATTAATTAATAAACTATTTTATGCACTTCCAAATAAATTTGATATATTGGATTATTAATTAAATATTTTATTCTAATTTTGTTTTTGTTTTGACATTTTAATGTATATGTATTATTTATTTATTTTAGCAAATAAAATCTGATTTAAAAAAAAAAAAATATTTAAAATAAAAAATTAATAAATAATCTATATATAGAAAATATATAAATTGAAAATTATATTATAGTATTTTATTTTAAATATGAGATTAATATTCAAAAAAAAAAAAAAAAAGAAGAAGAATTAATTTTTTATTAAATTATTTAATTTTTATATTAAATTTTTTTTTTTTTTTTAATTTATCAAATTGCTAAAATTACATGAGAAAATATTAAAAAAGAATAAAAATATTTAATACAAAAATAATTATTAAATTAATTATTTTATATAAATCCTTTTTAATAACAATAAAGATATTAATTTTATCTAATTTACATAAAAATAAAAAAAAAATATAAAATATTATTTTAAAAAAATTACATTCTGAAATATAAGCTTTGCCTAGCAAGAATATTAAAATTTCCTATTTTAATAGACTAAACTGACAAAGCAAAATTAAAAAGGAATTTTTCATTATAATTCAAACCTTTTATGTTTGAATTATTCCATAGATTTCAACAATAAAACAAAAATTAAAAAATAAATGTATATCATGAAATTAAATTTACCAAAAATAATAATTATGATATACTTATGTTTGAATTATTTAAATAATTTATATTTATATTTATTCCTTTTAACAATAATAAAAATATATATTATTTTCGAACTTATAAATATATTTATAATATAAATAATATTTTACAATATATCAGGATTTTAAAAAATAAAAAAAATTTAGCTACTCTAATAAAAAAAAATGAATATATTTTATAAAACTGTTATGAATATAAATAAAAAGATAAACGAAATAAAAACTTTAAAATATAAATAGACCTTTAATTTTTCAAAATAATACAGAAAGCCTTCAAAACCATGGAATAATAGTGAATAATTTAAAGATGAGCGAAAGTTACATGCTTATTATAATTTTGGATTGTATGCATTTGTTTTTGGAGCATGTTATGCTGCAGTTCCTTTTTATAAATTATTTTGCGAACACGTAGGAATTTCAGGAAATTTCGATTAAAAAGATTATTCAATGAAAGGAAAAAATAGTAAAAAAATATATTTTATAAAAAAAATTATTTTTTTTTTAAAAAAAAAAAAAGTTGCAGTTCATAAAAAATATAAAGTACAATTTAAAGCTGAAGCAGACCCTGAAGTAGATTGGATGTTTGAACCAATTTAAAATGAACTAATAATTAATGCTGGAGAAACAGCCTTAGCATTTTATAAAGCTTATAATAGAGAAGTTGATCCAGTTATAGGAATGTGAATTATTTATTATATATGTAGCATATTTTTTTTATCAAGAAAAAAAAAAAAAAAAAGTTTTTTTACAAAAATTACTCCTTTAAATTTTTGTAGAAATTTCTATTTTTTTGTTAAACAAAAAATATGCTATAATATATTTTTTTTATAATAAATATTATTATTTTTATATATATAATAAATTTTAATTAATATATAGGATTTGCAACATATAATGTATTCCCTGAGGAAGCCTCCGTTTATTTTACCAAAATATAATGCTTTTGTTTTAATTAATAATTACTTAATCCTAAAGAGGAGTTATAATTGCCAATATACTTTTATTTTGAACCTGAAATAGTAGAAGATCCTTTGTTGTAAAATACAGAAGAAATTAGTATATTATATAGATTTATTAAATGTAAAAAATAAGATATGCTTAAATACGTAGAGGCAGAAAAGAAAGAGTTTAAGAAAACAAAAGAATAATTGAAGAATTAAGAAATAAGAAAAAACAATAGGAAGAAAATGAATAACAATAATAAATTTCGCATTAAAAATAAAACTATTAAAATATTGTTTCATAATCAAAAAATTCTTGATTGTTTTTATTTTTATATTTATTCTTTTTTATATAGAATATATAATAAAGAATTAATTAATATAAATTTAGATAAACTAATATTTTGAATGAAATATAAAAGTCTAAATATTTTAATATTTATTTAGTTTTTATATCATTTAAAATATTTATTTCATTTAAAATAGTAATTAAATAATTATTAAATTTAATCAAAATAAACTAAAAAATATATCATTAGATAAGTTTAAATAACTATAAATAATGCTTAAAGCATTTAATAAATATTCTTTATTAAAATTATTATATTTAATAATTATTAATATTAGAAAAGAATTAAAAAAATAAAAAAAATTATTAAAAGATTTATCAAAAAATATATCTATATATATTATTTATGTTTTTATAATTATAAGTTTTAATAATTTTTTATAATTTATATTCATATTCAAAATATAAATAATTTTTATTATATTTGTCTATATATCATTATTTTTTTTGTGAATTTATATATTTATATTTAATAATTATGATATATTAAATTTAAAATTTTTGTATTTTTAATTTATTTCTACATAATTTTCTAAAATATATTATGAATTAGTAAAAATTTAAATATCTTTAAATATTATATAAAATATATTGACAATAATAATAATAATAATAATAATAATAATAATAATAATAATAATAATAAAAATAATAATATTATTAAAAATATTTATAATATTTTTAATCAATAGTTTTATTTTTTAATCATTAAAACAAATTTTATATTTTTATTTTATAATATATTTTTTTTATTTTCTTTAAAAATTACGAATAATTATTTTTTTATTATCTTAATTTTTATTATTTTTTTTATTTTATATTTTACTATTGTTTTCAATTTAATTATAATTTTTAAGATTTATCTGATTCCTTTTTTATTCTGTTTTTAATAAATTTTTCGAATAACTATTTAAAAATCAGAAAAATATTAACATGTATAAATATAAATATATAATAATAATAACATTAATTTTTTTTTAAACTATATATTAAATTTATCCAGAAAATAGTCTTAATTAAAATTTAAATATAATTAAAGAAATTAATTTTAAAATAAAAGAAAAATAAATATAAACTAAATATTAATAATTATTATTTTAATAAATATTTATATATGTAAAATAAATATAATATAATAAATAAAAATTCTAGTAAAATTAATTTGTAAAATTATATAGAATTTAAATAATAAATAAGTGTATAAAATCATAATTAAAAGAATATTAAAAAAATTTAAAATAATAAAAAAAATACAGTATATATATATATATATATATATATATATATATATATTTTATATTAATTAATTATTTTAATATTATTTATTTTTTATATATTTTATATATATTATAATAATAAATATTTTTTAATGTTTAATTTACAAGATAAACTAATAATAAATGATAAATATATTTGTATAATTATTTATATTAAAAATATATTTTTATTAATTTTTATTATTACAATTAAAAACATAAAATTCATTATCTAAACTATTTTAGTTATTCAATTTCTTTTTCTTTATTTCTTAAATTCTTAGAAAGTAAAATGAGCAAATTTTATAAATCTTTAATACTGTCTTAGTTATATTTTATATTATTAAAATCATCCTATTATTTTTAATTTTTTTCAGTTTTAAGTCTTTGAATTTCCTAATCTTTATAATTAAGATATTCTAAAGCTTCATTTTAAATCTATTTTTTATCTTTTATTAATTAATTTACTTATAATTTCAAATATTAATTTTCTTCTAAAACTTATTTATTTTATTAAAAATTTTAATTAATTAAATCTTCTTTAAATTTAATATTTTTTTCTAATTATTTTATTTAATCTTAAAGTAATTAATTTTATTAATTTAACTCTTATATATTATCTTCTAAAGAAGATATTCTTTGATTTAAAGCTATTGCTTTTACATCATTTATTTTTTAATTTTCCTTTTTTTAAAGAAGTTTCTAAAATTCATAAATCTAACTTTAAATTAAAGCTAATTTAGTCTCTAATTTAATCAACTTTTCCTTCTCTTCGTTATAAAGTTATTCATAATCTACCTTTTAGAACTTTTAAAAATTTTGTTATTTTAAATCATAAGCCATACTTTACAATTCTAATTTATATTTTGTTACTATTTTATCTTAAGTTTCTGATATATTCTATATTTAATTACATATAAATTAAAATTATTATTATTAATTTTAGTTTTAGTTTTTAGATTCTTTTTCAGTTTCTAAATTTTCTTCTTGTTCTAAAATTGTTTCTAAATTTTATGAGTTTTCATTACTTATTTCTATAATTTCATTGTAAAGTTCTGTTTATTCAATTTAATGATTATATAATTTGTTTTGGATTATATTTAAGTTGCATTCCGTTATTTTTTTTTATTGATTTTTGTAAAACAATTTTTAAATTATATTAATAAAAAGTAATTATTATAATTTTTTTATTTTTTCTTCCATATTAATAAAAGAAAATATTCAAATAAAAATAAATATAAATTTTATAGAATAAAAAATTAAATAATATATATATATATATATATATATATATATATATATATATATATATTGCTTCTGTAAATTATATTTATAATTTTTTTTATTCACATTTCACTTTAAACCTTATCATATATATTTCTTTTAATCAACATACAATATTAAGCATATTCCTTTCTTTTTACCATTTTCTCGATTTCGTTTTTGGTATTTTTACACAAAAGGATTTTGTTTTCTCAATCGAAATTATATTTAGGAGTTCCTCCAAAACAATCCTTATACAAGATTAATTATTTATCATAATACTCTTCATCATATCTACAAATAACTATTTTTTGATTCTAATAATTAAAATAAGCTGAATTTCCTTAATGGAATTAATTAGCATGAAAAATTAACAAATCTTACTAATTAAAATGTGAATAACAGATATTATTTTCGCACAAAAACATAAAAAAAACAAACTTTTGAATGGAAATTACCCACACTCAATACATTTTTTAAAAAAATGACATTTTATAAAAAGTGAATAGTTTTCTTAAAAATCCATTTTTAAATTTTCAAAAAAAATTTTTTATTTTTAAAACATGTTTCTTTTTTTCAAAAATAAATCGAAATAATTCTTTTCATTTATAAGAATATCAAAATTATTTTCTTGTTTTTTCTTATTTTTAAATAATCTTATATTAAATTAAGCATTTATCATTTACTTTATTATAATTTTAATTTAATTTATAGCTTTTCTTCCAAAGAATACACCAAGGGCTATATAAAGACATTATAATATATTCATATTAGCTTTTTCTTTTAAATTAGTATTTTTTAAATCTTAAATAAAATGTTCTTTATCAATAATAATATCCAACTATTTTAATTAATTTCTTTCTGAACAGGCTATATCAAAAATAAGACACACATAAACAAATTTAATAACAAATGAAGTAAACATATTTTCATTATTTATAAAAATAAGAAGAATTTTTGTCAAAATCATAATAAAGTTTTCATTTAAGAAAATCTAATAAACCCCAAAAAAATCACTAAAAGAATTTATTTAAATGCCTAATAAAAGTTTTTGATTTTAAAAATAATATTTAATATGTTAATTGTTTCTATCTTGTATAAAAGTCCAAACTTTTATTAACAAAATTAGATTTCTTAAAATAAGAAAGCCTTTTTATTCCCAAAAAAATTAGTTCTAAAATTCATAAAAATTCTCAAAGGAAATATTTTGTGTTTATTTTGAAAATTCTTAAAGAATTTCATTCAATTATCCATAAATAATCTCTTAACAAATATTCAAAAAAGAATACTTATTTTCTTATTTTTCTACAAAAAAATATATATTTTCTTCAAATTCATCTAAAAAAGATACATTAATTTCAGGAAAAAAATAAGTTGTCAATGTCACATCTTCTCTAAAAGTTATATTTTCAAAACTTCTATTAAGCTTTTTTTCTAAGGCCTTCTATTCATCTTCTAATTATTTTTTATATTATTTATTTAATTATATTTATGCATTAAACTAGATAATTTCTTCTTAAAGAAAATTCCCATTATTTTCATATTTTTTACAAAAAAGTCCATCGAAAATTTCCAAAGCTTTTTTTTTCTATTTATTAATTTTTAACTCTATTCTTTATTCATCTTCGTGTACAAATGGATTGTCCTTAAACTCAATTTATAAATTTTCATCAAATTAAATTTTTATTGTTCTTTCGTATTGTTATAAAAAAGGCAAGTATAAATTGCTTAGTCTTACACAAGCTTTACAAAAAAACTCTTTTGGTGGAATTAATAAATGGTTATATTTGTTTGAAGGGAAAAAGCTTTTTTTTAAACATTCTTCATGCATTAAATGACCACATGTTGAAATACTAAAACTTTATGTATTTTCTTTAATAAAATTATTATGTTTACTTAAATTTTAACTTTTTATTTTATTATTTCTTTTTTATTATTTTCCTGTTTTTTTATTATCGAACTTTCAAAATATGTACTTATATAAAATAATCTTCTCTAAATATATCTTTGTTTACATATATTGCATTCAATTTCTTCTTTTTCTTAATTAATAAGAATTTCAGGTAAATATTTATTACTAAAATTCGCTTATCTTTTTTAAAATTGAAGAAGGATTTTTTATTATTAATTATTTTTTGGTTTTTTTTTTATAATTTTTTCTTATTTTTTGTCCTCTTATATATTTTCTAAAATTTAATTTAATTTTCTAGCCAAAGCCTAATCTTAAATTTTTTAATTAAAAAATTAACTCATATAAAGCCTAAAAATGAAATTCCGAAAATTAAATGGAATTCTAAAAAATCAACATTAAACATGAAAAAAAATCAAAAGTTTTATTCTTTTATATTGCGTTTCTTTATTCTAAAATAAAAAAAGGAATTTCAAATAAAACAGAATTTAAAATTTCGAAAGAAAAACTATTTTTTTCTACAAAAAAATTAATATCGAAATTATTTTCATAATTTTCTTTAAAAAATAATGAAAAATTTGTTTTTTTATAAAAATTTATAAAATCGATTTTTTAAAAATAATCAAAAAATTCATTTTTTTTCTAAAAAAAAATTATTTTTAAATTATATTTTTACAATAATTTTTTCTGTATTTTTCTTGAATTTTTTTCCTATATGTTTACACAAAAAAATGCTTTTTAAATTTTTTCTTTAAAAATCTCCACTTTTTCCTTTAAAAAGCTTTAAAAAAAAAATATTTCATGAATTTCCATAAATAAAAAGTATATGTTTTCCCAATTTTTGTTAAAATATTATTCATAAAAATCTATATTTATTTCTTTTTTTAATAACAAAACACCATATTAAACTAAAAACCATTCTAAATGTTAATAAATATTATATTTTTTTTCATCTAAATAAAGTAAAGCATTCCTTTTTATGAAATTTATTAATTAGTTTTCATCTAAAAAGTTATTTTAAAATTAATATTCATATAAATATTTCATTATAGCCCCTATAGTTAATTATATTCTTAAATAATTTTAAGTACAAAATTAACTTTTAATCCTGTCATTTTCTTAATAGTCTTATTTAAGTAAATTTTATAAATTTAAAATTAGTTTCTTATCATTTTTAATTAAATTAATTATACTTTTAATTAATTTCCAACTTTATTATTCCAAAAAAACAACTTCGTCTATATTTTTCCTTTAAACTCTATCTTAAAAAACTAGTAATTTTAAAATGGCAACAATAAAGTTTAAATTTTCCTCTAAATCAACTATTTTAAGTATTTTTTTAAAAACTTTGAACGTATTTTTCCTTATTTTTTTTCGATTTTTTTCTTCTGAAATTTATTAAAAAACTTCATTAATACTCTTTTTATATTAAAGTATCAAATAATCTTTTTTTGGTTGTTCTGATAACATTTTTTTGAGAAAAATGCAAGAAATATTATTAAATTTATAATTTAAGTATACTTCCAACAAGATTTCATGAAATGCCTTAAATTTGGAAAAAAAAAGATCATTTTTAAGGGAAAAAAATATCCTTATTTTCAATAAAACTAGACTATTTTTTCTAACAAGCTCTCTTGATTTACTTTTTTTTCAGGTTTTTTTATAAAAATATTCATTATATAATACAATATAGTATTCGAAATTATTTAAACCTAATTAGAAGGTGAATGAGAAATAATATTTTCTTATAAAACATTTAATAAATTATCCATTTGAGTTATATTTAATTGATTTTTTAAAATTGCATTTACCTTCTATATTATTTATTTTTTTAGTCTATTTTATAAATTTTAACAAAAATTTTCTTATTAATTTTTTTTTTTATGTATAGTACATTTTATTTATCCAAAACGCAATGACAATATATTTATTTTTTATATTTTTTTTATTATATAATATTTGTATATTATAGTAATTATGATCAATAGAAAAATCAAAACAAATACCACATTAAAATTCATTTTTTTCAAAACAATCCAAACATCTGTAATATGGTTAGTTTTTGATAATTAAACGCATGCAAAAATTAGTGTTTTTATCTTCATTATATTGATTTTCATAAAAAATAATACTTTTTTTATTTCGGGAATAATATATGCTTTTTTCGAATTCTCTATTTTATTTATTTAATGTTTATTTGCATGAAATACATTCAAATAATTATTTTATAAATGTATTCATTTTTTATTTTCAATTTTAAATAATTTTGGTTATTCTTTTATAATGATTTATCTTTTTTTATAAATTTAATTTATTAAAACTTTTTTAAATATAATTAATCTTCTTATATAAATATACTCAAATTATAAAGTTAGTAAATTAAATAGTTAATATATATATATATATATATATATATATATATATATATATATAAATTTATCTAATGAACTATATTTAGAAAAAAAATTATAATTTTAAACAAATGGTCATTATTTAATAAAATATAATTAAATGTAATATAAATAATCAATTCTATTTATTAAATAATTATATTAATTAAGATTTCTATATTTTTTCTAGATAATAATTTTAATATAGTGCATATTATAAATAATATTATTATTATATATATACATATAATTTAAAATTATTTTTTTATATATTTCGTAAATAATTTTCTATACCTAGATTTATAATAAAAAGTTATAGTAAAATTAAAATTATATGTTTATATAAATTATAATTTTATGATTATTATATATTTAAAATTATTTCTACTTAATTTTGCTCTTTTTTTAATTATTATATCTTTTTTTTAATATTAAATTAATTAATAAAGTTAAAATTGTCAACTATTATATTTTTAAATTTTTTATAATATTTTTGTTATTTGATTTTAAGAAAAAAAAAAATAAAAAAAAGTAAAACTAAATAAATAATAATAATAAGTAAGTTTAAAATAAAGCATACAATTAGAATGAATTTTTAAATAAGTCAAGAACAAATTAAAGAATTATAAAACTTTAACAATAATATAATATTTGTAACTTAAAAAAAATATATTTTAAATATATATAAAAAAATACAAAATATTAATTATAAGAATTGGCCTTAAGAATTAGATTTTTGTGATGTTTGCCTAATAAAAGTTCCGTTACAAAAAGATGAGTTAATATATTGTGATCTTTGTAATGGATTAACCCATCAATCATGTTATGGCGGACAACTTTAAAATATAATCCCAGAAAGTATTTATTTTAATATTATATATATATATATATAAAATATGATGAGAAGATTAAAAATATAATTATTAATGGATTTTTTTTAAATTTAATTTTGTTTTATTAAATATAAATGTTTATAATTTTTTGTTTTTTTTTCTTTTTCTAAGATCAATGGTTTTGTTAAAGATGTGAATTAATTATTGACAAATATTTAAATAATAAAAAAGCAGAAATTTTAAAATGCCACTACTGTCCTGAATTAAAAGGAATTATGAAAAAATATTATACAGTGGAAACTAAAGAAGAAATATGGTCACATATAGCTTGTATTGCTTGGCAAAAAAATATAAAAATAATAAATGGGTAAATATAAAATATATATAATTTTTTTTTATAATAATATTTATTTAGAAATATAATCGAAAATCAATACAAACTAAAAAAAACTACTACTTATTGCAAAATATGTGGTATTTCATATGGTATTTGTGGATATGTAAAAACTATAATTACTATTTAAAAATAATATTTAATATTAATAGTGTTTCAAGAATGATTGCGATTTTTCATTCCATTATTTATGTGCAAAAAGATAAGGCTTAATTTAAGACACATTTTAAATGAATTAATTATTTTAGCTTAAATAAAATTAGTAAAAAATGACAAAATGCATTTATTTTATGTTTAAAATAATATATAGGTAATAAATATTAGGTCAAGATAATTATATAGTTTATTGTCAAAAGCATTTGCTTGAATTACAAAACCTTTAAAATAATTAATTTTTAAAAGGAAAGTATTATATTTTTAAAGATCATATTTAAAATAAAGCTAAATATATTAAATTATTATTTTTTATTTTAATTTTTTATTAAAACAGATTTTATTTAAAATATGTAAGTATAGAGACAATTGTTTGAAAAAGAATAAGCAAACTTAAGTTATATATGTCAAGATTTAAAAAGAGCTTAAAATATTAAAAGTGATAGGAAAAGCTTTTTAAGGAAAAAACTATTAAGAAAGCAAATCAAATAATAAAAATTGGGAAAGAGAAATGTTAATAATAAAATACAGCAAAAAATAACAAAAAATAAAAAAGTAGCAAATAACAAAACAAAATAAAAATTAAATAAAAGTAATCTAAAAAAAAATATATGTTATAAAAGCAAGACTATAAAAAAAAAAAATGGGCAAGGATTCAAGAACAGTTAAAAGCCTTTGACTTTAGAAAACAAGAAAGAAAACGATTGATTTCAGAATTTATTGAAAAATCAGAAATTAAATATAATACATAAACTGATTAGGTTTAAAAACATTTAATGGAAAACTTTGAACACATCAAGTTAAATTTATTTTCTGATTAAGACTTATACATTTTAAATCCTGAATTGAATTAAATTATTTAAATTAATTATGTATTAAATGAAACTTAATGGCAATAAGAAATTGCTTATTATTTTGTATAGAATGAGTGCCTTCACCCTGTTAAGTAAAAAGTCTATATAAATAGATGTAAAGAATCGAAAATTATTTCTTTCTTTAATGAAAAGAAACTTGATTTAAAAATACCCAGTGAGTCTTTTTGGAAATTCTTTAAGGATAACTTTCTTATTTAAATATATAGCAAATAAAATAGTATTTGAATTAGTTTAATTAAATAGTTTATAATAATTTATATAAAAAATAAAATAATAATAGTATATATATATATTTATGAAATTAGATATAATTAATTTTATAGATATTATATTTTTTAAAATTTAATTACTAAAAATTTATTTCATTTATAAAAATTTTATGGATTTGCATAATAACTTATTAAAAAAACTTATAATAATCAATAATTCTTAATGAAAATTTTTAGTCATTTTTTTTTAATATATTTAATATAATAATTCTTAGTTTAAGTGATTAAATCATATTTAATTAAAACAAAAATAAATATAAAATTTTTAAAATAAAAAAATAAATTATTTTTTATAATTAAAACATTGTATTTTAATAATTTCTGATAATTAAGTATTCTATAATAGCTAATAATAGAAAATAATATCTTTAAAAAAACTAAAAATAAAATGAAGTAGCAAATAATTTTAGCAATTTTTGTAAAATATTAATTATTTTTAATGCTTAGTTTATGACAAATTATATTTTTTTTAAAAAAATAGATTATAATATTAAGTTCAATTTATTATTTTTTGAGAAGTATATCATTTTATTTTAGAAGGAAAAAAAGAGAATAAAAGTTAAAATAAAAATAATCAAACTCTTACAATAGATAATATTTTATTGATTAATAATAAAGAAATACAAAAATACCTGAATAATTTAAACATATAAATTAATAAAATAAATAATAACAAAATTAATATTAGTAAAATGTATGTAAAGGACTAAAAATTCAACAAAGTATTACGCCCAAATCGAAAAATAAAAACTATGAAATCACACGATAATATAATAATTAAAAAAAATATATTCCAATAAAATTATTAAATTTAAATTAAGATTAAGATTCGAAATAAAATGAGATATTTTCAAAATTAATTAAAAATGATTAATAAGTAATTTATTTATAAAAATTAAATATTTTTTATTTTAAAAATAGAATTAGAATATATAATTTACACTTTCTGAATAAGAAATAGAAAAAATACAATAATTATATAAAAATATGCTTAAGTTTATAAAATCTAAAAAAGCCAGTGATGAAGAGGAATAAGAATCAAAAAACTTAAATTATAATTTATAATAATTAATTTAAAATTAGTAAAAAAAATAATAAATAATATAATTTTTTATTTTTTAATATATTATTAATTAGTTAAAATAGTTAGGATATAATTTAAATATTTGAAATGATTTCTTAAATGAAATAAAAAATGGTTTTAATTGACTCAGATAATTATAGAAAAAAGTTTTTTATATTGGAATTAAGTAAATAATTTAACAAAATATATATATATATATATATATATATATATATTTTTTTTTTTATTTAAATTAGTTTTAAATTAATTTAATGGTGTGAATTTTTATTATAAGATATGTAATATAATTATATTGAACCTGAAAGAGAATAATTAGACGCTTTTCTTATGTTAAAATTAGAATGATAATCATTAATTAAATTTCTATTACATAAAAAAGAAAAATAAATAAATTTATTTAGGAAGAAGAAGAATATAATATTATTATTTCAAAGCAAAATAATACAAAAAAGTATAATATATAAAATAATTATATTTTAAATAATATAAGAATCATTATTTTAAATATTATTTATATAAGAAACATATAATAATTCCAATAATAAAATTTAAAAATAAAATTTTTATTTAAGAATGTTTTTATTCAACTATTATTATTATTATTATTTTTAAAAAAAAAAGTTAAATAAATTAATAAATAAAATATAAATTTTATACCTATAATATTAATATCTTATTATTTTCTGAATAATTTTTTATTATATTATATAATTTCTTATTATAATTCTTACTAAATAAAAATATATTAATAATTGGTATTTTTTTTTTTTATTATACTTCATACTCCTTATTTTCTTTAATTTTATTTTCTAATAATTCTAATTTATATCTAAAATTATTCTATTATCTATCTTATATTTCTTTTTTTGTTAATAATTATATGGTTTAAATAATTTCTTAAGATTCTTGGCTTTTTAAACTTAATTTAGAATTAAATTAATTTGAATAATTGCTCTTTTATTTTTTTTGAATAAATAATTATTATTAAGTATTATTTCATACTAATTTTTCGGATTATAACTATTAATTTTTAATTATATATACATTTAATATTCTTTTACTACAAATAACTTAATTTTTGCCTTTGAAATGATCATCTAATTTCATATTTTCTTAATATATGCATTCTAATATTTAAAATTTATGGTTTTATAGGTTTTATTTTTAGGCCTTATAAAATAAATTAATTTTAATATTTTTTTAAAAAAATACTTCAATATTCATTAAAAATAATAAACTAATTGATTAATTTTCATTTAATATACCAGAACTTGGTTTTACTGTATAAAATTAATAATAATTAGATTTAATCTTTAAATATTATTCATAAAATAATTATAAATATTTATAAATTATACTTTAAAAGCAATTTGAAAGTTTTGATTATTTTAAATTTATAAAGAAGATTTAAAATATTATTAATTTTCTATCTCTAACAATACATTTGAAAAATTTAAAATATCTTCTTCTATTTATAAATAATATTACATGATATAAAAATCTAATAATTTTATTATTTTTGCTATATTTTTAAATTATTTGGTAATTAATTTTTATATTAAAGATAAAAATAAAAATTATTAAAATTTAATAAAATTAAAATGAATTAATTAAAAAAAATTAAATAAATTAAATATTAATTATTTATATTTAAAAATATAAAATAAGTTTATAATTAAACTTTTTTATCTTTAAATACAAATTTATAACTAAATATTATTTCATTTTCATATTAAAAAATAAAACATAAAAGCCATCTTTTAAAGCAATTTATATATTTAATAACAAAAATAATTTAAAGTTTAGATAAAACTAAATCAATAATTAACATTTTTTTAAAAAAGATTTTAAAAGAATATTCATTTTTGAATAAATATTCAATAAAATAATAATATAAAAGAATAATAATTTTATTTCTAAAAATTAAAATTATAGATATACTTCCGTAAAAGTCAAAAAATCGTAAAATTTTTCAAATACCCATCATGTCCGAAGTAAAAAGCTTTTTACCAATTTCAAAATCCAAAATACTAGACACATAATATTCAGTTGAGGGTACTTTAACTCTCACATTCACAGTAAAATTACTTCTAAAATAGGTAAATTAAGATAAACCTACATATTTATAAAACATCTTTAGATAACAAATAAAGTCAATATTATCATGCATTAGTTACTAAAAAGCACTTATCTTAAGGATTGGTAGATATAGAGTATTATTTCGGATTATAAATCATATTCCCGATCTTGCCCTCATAGAAAATAATAATTTTACTAATTATGTTAAGCATGGTTTAATAAAAATAATTTTAGACAATCTTATTTTGTTTAAATAATATAGGCATTTTAAATCAATGTTTCATACGTTCTATTTAGGATTATTTCATTATTTATTATATAATATTCGGAATTTATATTATTAAATATTAGTCTTATTATTATGGCCAATTGTTTGGGAACGGTAAAGAAATATTTGTATTTTTATAGTGGTTATCTAAATTTATTTATTTTCGATTATAAAAAAAAATTGAAATTAAAGATTTTTATTCAATTAGAATTTATATATAAAATAATGTATTATTAAAAATGAGTAAGTAAATATAATTTTAATTAATAATTTGTTATAAATTTATATTTTAAAAATAAATAAATTATTTTAATTAATGTCTAGTTTATAAATATTTATTTATATATAAAAGTAATTTTATCAAAATTATACTGAAAATTTTGATATTATAAAAACAATAATTTACATAAATTAATTGTTTTTAACTGTATAATTTTATTATTAGCTATATAATTTAAAATTATAATATTTATTTTATAAATTTTTTTTTATATGTCTTAAATATGTATATAAACTTAATTAATTTATTATATAAAATAATTATATTTTTCTTTTTTTTTAATTAATATATTTAATTTATTTTAGTATATTATTATTTTTATATAGTAATTTCGAAAATTAATCTATGGACGTGGACGGTAGAGATATATTCACTATTTAGTAAACAGTATACTAATAAAATATGTAATCTAATCAAAATTTATATGATTCCTATTAGTTATAAAGTGCATGATTTTTTTTTATATTATTTAAAAAAAATATATATTTTATTTAAAATTATGTACTATCGACAACAATATAC